TGTTGCCACACCCAACCAGGAGATGATTTGGTGGAGCATTAGCGCGTACTTCAAGGAGCATGCAAGCGAGGAAGCCAAACGCAAGTACCGCAACCATGCCCAAAAGAAGAAGTACATCGTGGATGTTCTCCAGATGCCACTTCAGTTTGACCGGGGCGTGTCGAAGCAGTTGCCACTCCAATATGTTTATTTTATCCAACCCTTCTTTGTCAAAAGGCTGAGGCTAAGTTTAAAGTTAGACTAAGCCAAGCTAAGCTTATGTTTTTTTCCAGCAGGATCGTCATGTTGCATTGCTTTCCACACCTCACCCTTCCAGGACGATGCGGGAGAAGAAGGCGTGGCAGTGGACAAGATGGGTGACGGGCAGAAGCTGCTTGTTGTTGGGAAGCGGTTCGCAGTGACCAAAACCAAGAAGGAGGCCAATGAGACCACTGAGGACCAGCAGGCATCCTTCAGCAAGCAGCAAAAGAAGCTTATGAGCGTGAACGCAGTCTCTAAGGCCAGGTTTACTTGTTCTTTAAGCTTACGCTTTCAGCCATGGTGGAACGATCCCGAATCCAATCGTAAGTTTGGTGTCCAGTCTCTTTTCTAGTTCCTGTTGTTTGTTGATTGATTCATGCCTCATGTACGATTCACTGATTTTTATATTTATGTTATCCATTATATACCATCCCATACATTCAGATCAGATTCGCATTTGTACTGTATTATACAGTTATGCAATTGTTACGAATTGAATGATTGCAATGATGACTGATTATACATTGAATACCGAATACCTAAGTGATACTCTAAGCTTCAGGACTCCAAGACATATTGCGAATCCAACCAAACTAACTGCTACTGACTACTGACTGAATGAATGATCAGGAGGCAGAGGCAGAAGCCTTGGCTGCGGCTGCCAAGGAGGATGGTGAGGAGTCCAGTGACTCTTCTGACTCTGACTCGAACTCATCCAGTGGCTCTTCCAGTGACTTTGGCCTGAAGAATGAACATGGGAAGGAGAAGAAACCGAAGGCGAAAGCAAAACCCAAGACCAAGTCTGGTTCCACTGGACAGAGGAAGCCCAAGCACACTGATGAGGCTGCCGAAGTTCCGGGTGAGGCTCAAGAAGAGCCTGCTCCTAGTATTTTGTCGTCAGACAAAGGCAGCCAACCCGCTCCTGAGGATGGCAAGAAATCAAGTCCAGCCGCCATGTACGAGAAAGCAAAGGTGTGCTTGTCTTCTTTGAAGGAGATGTCCGCGTGGAGCATTTCAAATGGCCTGAAGGCCCCTTATGTAGAGGGGCGAGTTGCCAAAGCCTTTGACTTCATTTCCAAGCTGGAGGGCCAGCAGGATCCAAATTCGCTGTCACTGGCAAAGGAACTTGGTGCTGAGGCAGATCGAGTTTCACATGCCATGGAGATGTTTCCAAGCCTTACATCAGTGGATCCTTTGGTTGAAGTGCTACAAACTCATGGAGCTGACATTGCGGGCACTGTGATCCAGTGGACTTTTGAGCAGTTCAATAGCTACCTCACCGACCTTGGGAGGAAGTTGTGTGACCTCCTCAGTTCACAGATTGGTGACATCAGCAAGGTTCCTGTCTTCTTCCACTTTGTCTCCATTGCAAGTTCAGACAAATGGAAAGGCTTGAGCTTGGGCCTTTTCAAGGAGAAGGCGGACCGGATCTCTGATGAGAAGCTTCGTCAGGAGACCTTGATTCATTTGGCTCAGGTGCAGCACAACTTACTGAACTACTTCCTAGACCGCTTCCGCACGATGAACGCCAACATCGTCGAAGCTGTTCTGGCTGCAATGCCCTTGGAATGGCGTGTGCCTGAGATTTGCAGGACAGGCAGCCAGACCAACGTCCTTGATTAATTTGTGCAAAGGGAGAGACAAAGAGAGGGAGAGAGAGAGAGAGAGAGAACAAACACAACACAAAAAAAAGAAAGAAAGAGTCAAAGAGTCTCAGAAAGAGTACAAATTAGAATTTGCAGTGTGGCGATGGTTTGGTTTCATAGGTTGAAAGGACGTATGCTGAGAGACAAGACAAACACACTCAAATGAAGTTGATCAATTGATTCCTCGGAGAAACCCGAGAAACTATGTTTTTGTTTGTTGAGTCGAGTCATCAGTCAAAATCACCCGGAGGACACCGATCCCGGCAAGTGCTGCTTTGACTTGGGATCCCATTGACTCCAGTGTCTCCAACAAGAGTGGGCTGGTCACCAGGGCACTGGCAGATGTGCAAAGGCTGGTTTGTTGCTGCATTGCCGCCACCCCTACAACCGCTACCAATGACCAAAAGAAGGGCATGAAAGATGTTATCGGGTCTCCTTGTGTGTCAGCAAGGGTGAACATGATCATCAAGTCGAACACCGCGATCAGGATTGGATGAAACTAGTGGGCTATTGGACTATGACTATGACTCATGTCTCTATGACCGTGAATGATTATGAATGATGTAACATGTGGCATGATATGGATTAAGATATGGAATATGGTTCTGCACTGCGCACATTGCTGTGTAGTAACAATTGTGTAAAGTTAAAGCGTCATTCATTCAGGCAACCTATATTGTATCAACCCAGACTCCCAGACCCAGAGTATTTGAAGACAGAAATTTGAATTTGTATCATATCCAGCACCTGGGCGAGGGGCCCGAGTCCTGAGTAATGTAGATTGAACTTGTGGCTTGACGGGGAATTGCTTTACCCCTATCTATTTGGTGCTGGCTGTTTCCTGGAAGGAGCTTGTGGAACAAGGCGTGTGAGCTGGGCAAGAGTCACATTGATGTGAAGGCAGCGCTCTTGAAATCATCTGCGATTGCGTCTTCACTTACCAGTTTGGAGTCTGAGATGATGTCCAAGTCCTTTCCACCGGAGTCTCGTTGGAGCGAGCTCTCCAGCTGCAAAGACGTGATTGCACTCCTCTCGTCGGAACAGGAGAACTTCTCGGAGGAACAGATTGGGCTTGTTTCCACACTGATTGATGCACGCAATTCAGTGACTGCCCACTCTCCGAAGCTAGAGGACTGCTTGCCCAAGTTGGAGAACTTCCTCAAGAGCCAGTGGCTGTCCAACACTGAGACTGATGAGGGTCGTGGCAAGCTCAATCTAAGCCCTGATTCTGAGCAAGACACTGAACACATGCTTCAGATGTTGGTGGACACAGGAAAAGCAGGCTGGATAGGGTTCCACACGTGGTGGATCTGTTTTTCAATTTTCTTTAAAAAAGACCTGAACCGCACACCGCACCCTTTAAGCTTTAATTTATATCCATGTTAATGTTCATTTGTTGACTTGGATGAATGCCAGTTGGTTCCCTGGTCTGATTTTTGGTTGTTTTGTTTTGGCAGGCTTCTTGCACTACCACTTGCTTGAAGACACCCCAAGTGCGGTTGCACTGCTTGCGGCGCGGATCTGCCAATGCCTTCATGGACCTTTCAATCATGATGGGACTACGGTGCTTGCTCGTGCAGTGTCTCTATGGGGAGATGTACGTCCTGCACTGCTGGATGCCCTACGCCTTGACACCGAAGCTCAAAGCAAGTGGGCCATTATTTCTGTGGCAAAGGATGCGTTTCAGCGTCTTGAGGTTGCAATCCAGCTGCAGGCGTTCAATGAATTGAAAGACCTCATTGCCAAAGATGGCTTGGAGGAAGCGATGAACAAGTTTGACAAGACCTTCCCCGCAGATAGCAACATTCCTGCTTCCTTGAATCACTTCATGAGCACCTTGAGGTCAAGTAGGGCTCTTGCCTCTGAGCCCTTAGACACAACAATTGGCTCCTCAGACTTTGAGTCGTTGCAGAAGAGCTTGGCCCTTTACATGAAGCTCAAGGCTATGGATGCATCTTTCCTTCAACTCGTCCAACCAGATATTGCAGTGAAGGTCGAGGGCTTCATCAAGATGTATGACGGCGCATTCAAGGGATGGTTGAAGGAGAAGACAAAGTTCCTGAACGCAAGCTTGAAAACATTGGATGAATTCAGGCCGGTTCTTCTTATTACTTTTTCTGGGTGGCAGTGGCAGGCATTATAAAGCCAAATGCAAAACATATTCCACCTTTGACTTGTTACCTGTAAGTGTACCGTGTTGAGAACACATTTGACCTGAAACTGGCATTTTGCGGTGGTGGGGTGGGCATGGTGAAGTATTGCATCTTTTCAATGAGTCATTGAGTCACTGACCAAGTTGATTGGACATTGACATGAACATAGACCTGCTTTAGTTAGTGCACGCTTGTGGCATACCAAGTTTTCAGACTTCCCATTGCCGCCTTTATTTAAATTTGCAGGCCTCTCATTCCAGCCATGGAGACAGATGAGCTGGAGCCTTTGATGCATCATTTCGAGCCCGGCGACGCCAATGAGGCGAGGCTCGGAAAGCTGGTTGAGGATTGTATGAATATCCGGGACAAGATCTTCACATGGGCTCCTTTTGTGAAGTCAGCTATGGGTTACTCCAGCAATGCACACTGGCAAGCCAGGCGGCTTTAAAGAATCTTTCCACTGGCTTTGAGGACAGGGCTTTGGTTTTGAAAGTTGGAGTGGTCGGCGGTCGGTCTCTTTTTTCCAGGTGTTCGGTGTTCAGTTGCATACATTCAGCAATATTGAAGGTCATTCCTAAAGGCTGAATGTAATATTGAATTGATATTGATATTGGCATTGGCACTTAGAAATTTTAATTGGCACTGCGTTGGCAGAAAACAATATACTACTGCTACTACTACTACTCCTCCTCCTACTACTACAATATGGTGTTTCTTTAAGTGTCGACTATAACTATGCTGTGCTAGTGCTAGTAGATAATTCATTCTGACATGACAGGACTATCGGAAAACATCAGCAGTGATTTGCGCATACCTCTCCGTGGGCTGGCTCGCATTGAATGCTGAGACACACACAACGGAGGAGCAACGCAAAGCAGACTATGCAAAAACAATGAAGCTTCTGGGTCAGGTTGGCATTTCCCGGGCCGATCTCCCACACACTTTGCAAAGCAAAGTGGACAATTGGGTTGCAACCGGCAATTGCAGCTCTCAAGCTCCAGTGGGGGAGGGAACAAAGGGCAAGAAAAGGGAGAAGAAGTCAGAGGAGGACAAGCAGAGCAAGAAACCTCGGGTCCAACCAAAGCAGAGTGCAAAAAGGAAGAAAAACTGAGAGGGCCTTTGATCTAGGACATGATTTTGGGGTTTTCCTTGGCCAGTAGACAGTGCACAAGCGACTGCATGGCCACAATATGTTTAAAGACAATGTGCGAAACTTCGAGCCTAAACCTTTGGCATAGGAGACCCAAGCTCCAGCCCAGAATCCAATATTTAGGTACTAAGTACTACTACTGAGTATGAGTCCGAGTAATTGTTTGTATTGTTTTGTATTATATTATCGCAATGGACAATACGGACATGATGTGACTGAAGAAAATGGTTTTGTGATATGGACACTACCAGTGGTGGGCATGGTGTTTGGCCAAGGGATGGTTCGATACTTTTGGATTAGATGATGAGATGATGGGCGAAAGAACCGAGAATCCCAGCGAGGGAAAAAGAGCACCACTTGGAAAGGAGCATGTCAGCTGTTGGGAGGGTGAAGGAAAAGCAACAACAAACAAACTTGTGTAAATTTCATAGGATCTCCAGACCCTTTTGAAGTCCCAAATTGTCCCACTCCATTGATAATACTTCAAATGAACAGCAAGAACACAACAAACAGCTTGGAGATTTATGATATGTTTTAGAAACAACTCTGAAGGATTTAGTAATAGCCCTGAAGGATTTAGTAATAGCTCTGAAGGATTTAGTAATAGCTCTGGTAAATTTAGGAATAGCTCTAAGCCTCAACAGACAAAGAGGCTGACCCAGATCCTAACTCAAGGCTGTCAGAATACATAGAGAAGCTGTGCAAGACACTTGTCC